GGCCACGAGCCTGGAACAAAAATATAATATATTATTATTTCTTCCATCAAAAATCTGTGACTCTTCCCATATGTCGCACATTAATCGACTCAAAATAATTTTAATCAATGACAATTTTTAAAATTATTTTTAATACATAAAATAAAAATAAGAATGAAAAGATTGGCCTGCGATCGGCATTCAAATATTATTATGCCACCTACGCACAAACACACAAGTGTACATATTATCAAAAGAGGATATTAATAATATCAATATTAATAATTTATCATAATATTCGTTGTACCATGCTCAGGTATAATTATTATTATTATTATTATACCACGGTCGTGGTAACTCTCTATCGTGTAAGACCACACGACGATGTTCATGTAATATTTAAATACCGCACAGTATTGTTTACTCCTCCACCGCTGTCGCAGTGTGATATGGTTGCATATTTAAAATAATCGTTCGCCGACAGCAGTATGCTATGTTCCCGAGCTTGAATTTTATATCATTATATCATATTAATCATAACTATTTGTCGACTAATAACGTTACATATTAACGCCTCGAGCTATAATATTATATCCGTCACACGTCATCATCGTTATAATTTTACCGTCATCGTTCGGTTCTTGAAACTTTATTGGTTTTTTTTTTTCGGTATTTTTGTCGTATTCATCATCACTCCCGAACAACAGCGTCCTGTTATAATTATTAACTTGTCAAATTTTTTTTTTTTTTAGTGGGTCAAGTACAGTTATTCCGATCTTGTTTTCTGCAGCCACCGTGGGTACCAAACTGTACTTAAATATACAGTTTTTTTTTTATACGTTTAAGTCGAATTACAAGAAAGTTCATCGCCAAGTCAAACAGTCGCAATTAGTCGTCAAAACGATCGTTTCCAAGACAAGCTATTCTTTTAATAATAATTAGTTCCATCGCCGCCGTCCAATTAGTTTTTGCAACAGCAGCAGCGACCGAGTACCTAATACTAATAGATATGATGTGTATTTTGAATTTCGATTGTTTCGCGCAAAACCTTATTAAGTCTTGCACATAAATTTAAGACTTATTCATATAACAGAACGTAGCCAAGTCTCCTGCAGTGCATAAACTTTTGGTGCAATTAGATCACTTTGGGACTTTTATAAGCGGGCGTGTCTACCCGTGAAATGACATAGACGTAGTGTGTATATCTAAATACATAAATGTGTATATGTGTGTGTAGGTCGTGGCTAACAGTTTCGGAGTCAATCGCCGTCGTAATACCGAAACCTAAACGCCCCCAAAAAATGGATGTAAGTACGTATATTACAATGATATAATAATTATATAAGCACGAACTCTCCGAGTTACAAAAAAAAAGTTGCCGTTCTATCAAACGGGTCGAAAACACTGCAAAAAACACAAAACAATAATTGTATTATATCAACGAAATGATAACATAATAGTATATAGGTAATAATACGTCGATTATGGAATTTCATGTCTATTATGTAATACGATATTACATAATACAGTAACTAGTTAATTATTTTGTCGTCCTATAGGTAATCGCATTTTGTATGATCGATTTATGCGAAAATAGTTGTCCATTAATATATTTTTTTTTTATTGATAATAAGGCTTCAACAATAACAAGGTCATTAGCGTTCCATTATCATTGTAACAGGTAAAAAATACAACTTACGACTACAGTTGTGACTAATAGTTCTGACTGGAAGTTGAAAAACCATATAAATTCCGACTTTTTGCATATTGTCTTCGTTGACTATCGAATACAATATGCAATTTTAGAAGTAAAAGGTGTTACGATAATGTACATAAACATATTTTTTAACTCGGACGAGAAATTAATTTTGAGTTGCATTAAGAATTTTTTTTAAAATAATTTCCCGATTATTATATCGTTTTTAAATTATGATTTTGTTTGAGAATTGTCCTAGGTTATAGTCATGTTAATTGTGTGCAAAATAATTTTGATTTACAAGCAACGTGGTAGTACTATCTATCCGTACAGCCGTTTTTCTTATTTATATTTTTCTTAAAAAAAATTTAATTTGCATATTAAAGTTTCATTTTATAATTTTAATCATTTTTACTCAAAAGAATATTTGTAGGGTTTCACAGAACACGGGTTTAAAATGGGCTTTTTTTTTCTAACAATCCGGATCCTAGAGCATAGGTATATGACCTAACCTTGGTTTGATGTAAACATTTTTTTTTAACTATAGATCTGTGTACAGTATTTTTGTTAATATTCCAAAAAGGAATTAGAACTAATAAACTAGCACTTATTTCAAACCCTTAATTTTTTTGATACATTTTTAAAGGTATGTTAACTCGATTTTCAATTTGATTACTTATAGTCGGTGGTATGCATATTGTTTTAATACCTATATTATTTTAGTCTACAAATGATTGAAAATTTTCATTTAACGTTAAAAAAATTGTAAATTTATTTACTGATTTATCACTTAATAGTTTATATTTATCACATAATAATGTAGAACACTTATGCATATTTATCTATGAAATGTGGGTATTCGCATTTAAATTCTAGTTGCAATTTTAAATTTTAGTTCTAGTACAGCACATAGTGTTATGACAAAAATGTTTACAAATTATTTCTCTAACGATTTTCAAAAGCCATTATACAAACTGAGGATATTGTATATTTAAATCTTATTATAAATATTAAAAATTCCAAATGACGTCAGAAAATTCCTCCGATATTGAACCCCGAGGTCCCGAATTATGAAAAAAAAGAAGTTGCGATATTTTATAACGTCTATTCGATGAATACTTGATAATTATTAATAAAGTAAAAAATTTTAATCTTAGAAATGACGAATAATATACATTACAAACATAAATATCATTCACGTTGTAATGCGTTAATAAGAATAACATAACAGCAGTGTTTTTAATACCATAATATTATGTACGGTTTTATCAATGTTATGAAAATCAATGAAATGTAGAAAAGAATTTTTGATCCGATATTTATCCAGTTAAATAAACTCATTACGTAAATACACAATATTATTATTTTTATTTCGTTAACAATCGTGATTAAACATTAATTAAATACTTAATACGATTGAACTGAGTATAAATAATATACCACCAACAACAGATAAAACTTCCACTTAAATAATTATGTTATTTATCACTTTTTTCTATTCTACTATAGATTAATGTCGTGGCGTAATTCACAAATATTATTTTCATCGATTATTCGATAAAAACCATACTTTTAAAGCTTATACTGTCGATTTCCGAGACATTTTACGAACTCTGCGAACCATTTTTTATCTTTAAAAACAACATAATTTAAAAAAGCGCTTTTTTAAGTAGCTAGTTCTATCACTTTTTACTGTTGAGTAAATTTAAGAAATTTGACAAAAAACATGATATTTTATTACACATTGCTTATGTGTAACATCTTATGTTATAATTAACCGCTGAAATGAATTATAATCCTATCAGTTAAGAAAAAACTCATAATTTTATCATTGATAATTTATAGATTCCATAAAATTTAAGGTTTGGAATTTTACGGTTTTTATTTTAAATTTTAAATAAGAAACAATGTAATAAGATTAACAAATTTTATAGCAAAGAAACCTACTTGGCCATTTTTAGCTACTATAATATAACGTGGACAGAAGTTTTTAGTCTTTTCAATAAGTATATGCGTACTTCCAAGAAATTCGAAAATAATATATTTAAGCGGGAGCGATAACCAAAAATATATTATTGCGAATAATTTTTCCAACATCTTTTAAACTTAGATAGTATTTTTCTTGTTCCACTGTTTATAGTTTGTTATGTGAAAATTAAGTAATTACATAACGAAGAAAAATATCAGAAATACAATATTAAATTCAATCATCAATTAACTATTGTTACACAAATTGCTCCTCAAATACGGTCTTATGGAATTCAGTTATGGAGAGAGCCGCTAAACCATTGAACATTCATAAAATCCAAACATTCCAGTCCAAATGCATTCACCAAATAACCAAAGCCTCATACTTTATTTCAAATTATACCTTCCACCATGATCTCTCAATTCAGCTCGTTAAAAATATTGGTCCAAAATCTTTTACAAGCGCTTTTATTCGGATCTACTTAACCACTGTAACCTCTTGATCTCAGAACTATCTGTTTTCGTCATTTCCAGTAACCCAAGAAGACGCCTAAAGCGAATTTGTTATCGTGACCAATTAATTAATTAACCCCTGCTCTTACATTCATGTCAGGAAGTTCCGTCACTGAATGGCTTCTTGCCCCAAATCTTAAGTCTTAAAATGTTTAACTTAATATATTTATTATTATGTTATATATATTTATTTATGCTAACTGTACATCACTTGATAAATGTTTACATTGAAATGTACAGATTTTTCAATAACAAATAATAAAGTTCAAATAAATAATTCAATCGTAAATGATTATTTTAATATTGTGTAAGAGTAAGGTAAGCAATTTAGATATAGGTATAGAATGATTGGTTTCCTACCTGATGCCTTACTTGAATGATAAAATTTTATTTGCATAAAATGTTAGGTTATCGTTCGTTTTAACGCGTTAGTTTCTATTTTTTAAATTACAAAATCAAAATATTTTCACAACTTATTTTGCATTAAATATCTAAGAATCTAACAATAAGTTCTTATTTTATTAATTATCGCGTTTAGATTTAATAGTATAAATGTTTATTCGATATGCCATAGTTGTAGTCAATACGGAAGTGTCATTACTGTTAAATAACTGTTGGCTTTAAAAATTGAATATAATTTAAAGCATGCAGAAATTATATTGAAATTTTGTAATATTTGATTGAATTTTATCAATCACTTAAATTACGGCCAGACATTGACTACATCTACTTGAGGAATAAAAATCATCAGATGACTTAATCATAAAATAAAAAATATACCTAAATTATAATGGGTGGTTATATTTTATAGGTACCTACTTAAATAGACTAAACTATAACGTACCTGCTTGCTTAAATTGCGATCAGCGGCGGCTGTGGCGACTGTCGGGCACGTGTGTCTATCGTCGAGCGAACAACGTTCGTACTGAACCACATGCAAGACACGCCGTCACGACCACCCGACGAGTTTCCAGGAGCGCAAGCGCCCGCGTCGCGACACGCCAACGCCTCCGACGCCGTATCGGTCAACAAGTCACCTCTGTCGAGCGCGCGCATCGTATAGTCCTTTGCCTACATAGTCTCTCGCTCTCTCCGCCCTTTTGTATCGTTTCGTGACCATCGACATACGCCCCCCGTGCCCCCCTCCTACCACAATAACCCTGTACCCTCTTGCTGTGCATGTGCCTTATTTTTTTCAGCGGGCAACCATCATCCACATATGTACGCGCTTAGTGTTCTTTGTTCTTCTATTCAAGTTCACGTCACCCTGCAGATTTTGTTTAAGAACGCCACCCACCCAATTTGATTAAAGCGGCTAAGCTATAATTGTGGTCGATGATAACATAATTTAGGATTACAGCGTATATCTCCGACGATCGTCTATCGTATTTGAACTCAAAAATGTATATTATTTTGATCTATATGCATTTTTTATTTGCTGTATATGTTTGTGTTTACAGAATTAACCACTCACAATTATTTTATATTTAGTTTAACATCAGTTTATACTTCAATACTATTAAAAAAGACATTTTAAAGGTTATATGCATGTGGATTTTTTTTCATGTTATGATAGGTTTAAACTTTAAACACATACACTATACTCCTCGCTATCAATATCACAATATTTAATATTACGACACATCCGTTTTTGTGATAATAATGTCATAATATTATTATTTTTCATCGTTAATGCACACACCACGCGAGTGAGAGATATTTCAGTATTTGAAGCTTAAACGAATTTATTATTCCACCGTAAATGTTTAAAAATGTTGATTTCCCTAAGTAATTTTGGTATACATATTATACATATCATGTGCGTACCGTATCGCTGGTGTGGGTATATATAGGTACGAGCGCGCAATGCGAAATGAGAAAAGGCCGAAACGCGAGAAAAGCGTTAATTATAGATAAGAATTGCTTTGTTTTCACCCGCGTATTCTCGCGAGACCACCTCGTTGGGCTATAAACGTAAAATAAACTTTTATTTGTATAATGCCTTACCGAGAGAAGGGTTACTGAAACCTCTTGGATGGTTTAACCGAATTTGAAAAGAAGTGTGGTTTTTTTTTGGCGTGAGCTATTTCAACGCCTGCTTCGTTTTTCGACTCAATGAAATATTTAATATCAAAACAAAAAAATTTAAAGAAGAAAGTAAGTTCCTGTCAAAACTATCACCTGGAAATTCATACAAAGACAAACATTACAACAATATGTCAATGTCGACAACATTATATAATACATTCGACATACAGCGTGATTGATTTATCATAAAACACTCATTATTTAAAAAAGTATTGACTTTTTTCAAAATATTTTTTACATAGTTTCAAGTTGTTAAAAACCCAACGCTTTTATTAAAAGATTATATTTTAAAATATTTTTTATCCTTATCATTTTTTATGTTTTTTACTTTTTTGAATGACAACATAGAGTTTTAATTTCATATTCCAAAGCATAACATTTTTCTAAGTATTTTGATACATAGAAATCGAATTTGGGGCTAGTAGTTTATGAGTAAGTTATAAGTATTTAAAGTTTAGGCAAGCCGAGTAGTGGAAAAACATTTTGCGGGGTAACCCCGTACCMCTCCACTCTGCCAATCTAAACTTTAAATACTTATAACTCATAAACTACTAGCCCCAAGTTCGATTTTTATATATCAAAATACTTAGAAAAATATTCTGCTTTGAAATATAAAATTAAAACTCTATGTTGTCATTCAAAAAAGTAAAAAAACATAAAAAATGATAAGGATAAAGAATATTTAAAAATATAATTTTTTAATAAAAACGTTGGTTGTTAACAACTTGAAACCATGTAAAAAATATTTTGAAAAAAGTCAATACTTTTTGAAATAATGAGTGTTTTATGATAAATCAATCACCCTGTATAATACGTTATGCTGTATTGCCTCAATAATGCATTCTCCGAGCGACTCCAAAAAAATTATTAACGATTAATTTAAATTCGTCTTGGTTAAATAAAGTAACTCACGCTTGTGGGTTGGTGAGGCGTGATGTCTAGCTTCAGCCGTTAATGTGCGCCGAGTACCAGCATCGGTAGGTGCCACCGCCCTGGTTCTTTCTGGTGAATTCTTGTCATACATATCACTTGTTTCTACCAATCATACCGGTCTTCCAACCGAACCAACCGTACCAACCATACCAATCTTAACCCGAACAATCGAAAAACAGTCAAATAACCACCTCAGATGTTGAGACCTTAATTAAAAAACAGTAAAAAATTACTCACTTAATCTGTCCAGTCTAACGGAATATTGATGTATATATTATTATGGTGTTTTATTTTATATTAATAATATAATATCAGAACTCGTCAATACAATTTTAACAGAATTTTAAAGACGGCGTTATACATAGGCAATTCTAGTACAATAGTGTATTGATTATCTACGATAAATTACACATTAGTAACCAGTATAATTTTCAATGACACAACTACTGAAGAAGACGGGTTGGTGGTGTCGAGTCCTAGCCCAACTAATGATGGCATATTTCCGTATTTGTTAATAAAATAGTGTCAATGTCATAATACTTTGATTTATAAACAAAATTTCACAAAATAATGTCAAACACATAAATTATGTTAAAATAAAATTATCAAGTGTAGGTACAATGTATAAAATATAACTTAAAAATCCGAGTAAGTAGGTATTAATATATTATAATATAATTATTTGGGATCGGCATCAATGTAATATTAGGTTATATTATTCTAAAAACAGCGTGCGATCAATGACGTATAGTCAAAAAAAATGATCATTATAAGTAATCTAACTAAGATTTTCACKTAAAGTTAGTTAACGGTGGTAAAAACCTTAAGATAAAGTAAAACATAATTGTTAATTGTTAGTTAACTTCTCTAGTACTTAATTATTATTTTATTTAACTTATGCTGTACAGAATACAAGAATAGTTTACATTTGACAGAGGTAGTTTTGGATTATTTTTTGAAGTAAGTAGGTACTTTTTTGAAAAATTATGAAAATTGTAGCTTCGTTAGTTACGTACACATAAATTTACAAAACCAATTTGAATTTTAATTAACGATAAAAAATAAACTTTTATATATTGTTCACACATTAAAATTTATAAAATTGTTGGCATTTGAATATTATAGATATTTTTTAAATGTGTAAAAAAACATTAAAATAACTTTTTATTATTTGTATTGATCAAATTCTTGGTACTTGAGAGTACCATTGGTCGTCATACATAATGTTTCTAATACTATCGTTTACATAGGATACTTACAAGTCAAATAATTCTTTCACCAAGAAATTTTTTTTAAATTTAAATAATATATTTAGGTGATAGGGACTAATAAATAGAAGTAGGTATATACAATGTATATATGTTGACATGGTGTTATATATTATGATTGTATAATAATGTATACAAAATTGAAACTCAATACTTAGATAGGTACTAACAATTTTATTTTATTTGAAAAAATTTATATTCATCATTTGATACCTATCATAAAATAATATGTTAAAATCCTATTATTCGATAAAATTCACACTCTATCTTAAGATAGTATGTATTTAATAACGTAATTAATAAATTAATATTTTATAAAAAAACTCTAAAAACCAATGTATTGTTGTCAGCATCAATACTGGGTCACACTGTTTAATTTTATACCCAAATAACTAATACTAAACAGTGATATTATTTTTATATTTCCTTGTTCTCTAATTAGTAGGTGTTATATCTTATGCCATTGTCTCGTGTGGTTTTTGTTACCGGGATCACTATCAGGATATATTTTAAACCAATACATATTACCAATTTTACGAACGAAAATATTATATATTATTATTTAGTGTGTTAGTTTAGATACCGAGTGGATCGATTTTAAAACCAATTGAAAATTTTCAAAATACGTATGTTGACTCTTTTTGAGCAATTCAAAGGCATAAGACGATTTGGATGTTTATCAGTTTTTTTATCGATGATGAAAATTTTTTTTTCGGTTAAAAAGTTTAAACATTTAATACTAAGTTCTTCATGAGTTGCTTCTATAACAGTTTAAAATATTTAAAATACATAAATACTTGTTTTTTATATAAATAATTTAAGCATGACTATTTTAAAAATCAAAATTTAACAAAGTTCGTTAATACCACAAAAATTTACAAATTATTTTATAGTTAAAAATGTATAAAATGTTAAATTTTTATACCTAAGAATTTAAGTTGAAAAACAACATTACTCATAAGTAATTCATACTGTAACCAAAAAAATTTAAACACAGTTTAAATCTATAATAAATGCATACAAGGTTTTCTATAAAAAAAATTGATATTTTAAATTCAAATTTAGATGAAATTTAATCTTAAATCGAGTTAAATTTAGTTATTTTGTTTTAGTAAAAAATATATTCGTTTTTTGTTAAACAAACATAGAAACGTCAAAGAAGAAATCAAGATTTTCCAAAAACATTTTCAATAAAATAATAATACAATATTTATCCCAAAACTAAAAAAATCTTTCATCACTATATTTACTAATTTATTAATAAAATATAATAGTGCTTTGAAATTTGAAAATCATCTAAAGCACTAAACTTACAAAAGTTGATTGATTTGTGATATAAAAAATAATAACACCTCGACAAAATAACTATATTATTATGTTTATGTCAACTTAAACCAAACAATTTTTAGATGTACGTACGCAATTTGTTAAAATGTAATTGTTTACTGTGTGGAACTATATAATTTAACGAAATACAAACCGTATCAGAAAATATATGAACCAAAGTTAAAGTACAGAGATAAAATCATCACAGATATGACGTGCGTCATATTTTTTCGCTAGTGGCTCAGTAAAGGTGTTCAATGTGCAACAATATAACAAATCCATCATAATAATAATAATAAGGCCTACACGCGCGAACAATCGGTCTGTTATCGT